AGTCTCGAAACCATATTTAAATGCGAAAAATAAAGTAAAGTAGTCTATTGTTATAGAAAATATACGTTTGATTCATCGACAATCCAACCAAAGAATATGATATGACAAAAGGCCTGGCCTTCCTTAAAATTCACATTTTCCCTGTGACCCAAAGACACTCATGGCAATGTGGCCGAGTGCTTAACGTGTCAAGCTCCCATTCTGCACTGTCACGGTTCGACTCCCGCTGGGGGTATTGATAAGACCAATGAGAGGTCGAAACTGCAATCCACCCTGGATTATAAAAACTTTTGGGAAAGCATGGCTATGTGAAATTCAATGAAAACGTAATATCTACTTATATCACTGTAAAAAATTCTTCTACTAGTCCTTTATCACCTTAAGCGAATACATCTCATATTACTGATTTACTGGTAATCTCGAAACAATACTTAAATGCGAAAAATGATGTTCCTAGGCATTTATAACAATGTAAATAACTGGAATGATAGCAAAAGTATTGGATAAAAGCGGTTAAATATCATTACCGGCCAATTAAAGGTATTAATAAGAGTATATTAAATACGGTTGTGAGAGGTTTTGTCCAATCAGACAACATGAAATCTTAAGTTACATGAAGTACGAAGTTTCCAAACAAACTTGTACAACTCGGGTATAGCTAAAGAATAGACCTAGGCAGGGCTCACGAATATCCTAAAGTAAATCCGATTAAAATTTAAGATATTATTTGACAGAAGATAGTATGTACTCATGCATCAAAATAAATGTGCAAGCATATGCAAATACGGGACTTTTCATATCCCTATAGTATACTATACACAAGAGCAAAATTACTGACCTGGAGCTGTCACAAATATGCACCCATGAATATAACCAGCGTCATTCAGTCATCAATCATTAGTTTGTTACCATACTATGAATTTTTGAGCGTTCAAAAGTGTGAATGCTTAATCTGCAATTAAATAATTTGTCACAATCTAGGTAAAAGCCTCCATTATCGAGAAGCACTTTAATTAAAAGAAAATCTGATAACCAGAGTTAAGGCAATAGCGATGCAATTTCAAGGAAGGAATAGGATAAAATAAGCTCGTCTTGATATTATGGCTTAGAATCAAAGCCCACCTGCATGCCGGAATCATCCATTCGTGTATAGCGATCAGGCCAGATGTTGGTCGCAGTGGTCGCAGCCACAGTCGATTCGGATGTAGCCGTCGCGTTTCGTGTAAGCCTAAGGCGACGCCGATTTACCAAAAGGTTAGTCATGTCCAGAGGGCGGGAATTCAGGTTAATTCGAGCAGCATGAGTGAGCTGATAAATTCGATGTGAAGGATGAATAAGAGATAATGACATTTCGGCAGTAGGCCAACTTATGGTGTAATAAATGGCAATGTGATAGCGAAAAAGACCAATTATGGATCAGTCGAAGTGAATCTAAGAAACTTGTAACTATTTTAGACAGACGGCTCTGCATGACATTGATTAATTTACCAATGAAGAGCTTGAGCAACTTCACCTGAAATTCCTTAAAAACTAAGCATATTTCAATAGTCATTGACTACATTAATTAGGGAGTAATAATTATGCGTTATAGATTGAAGACATTTGCAAATAAGTGTTTCTGGTGCAAATATGGCATTGACAAAAAAAAGAACACAAAATTTACCCTCAAAAATGTGAAATATCAAAATAATAAAGTAAAAGAAATCAATCAAAGTTATGAAGACCAAGATGGCGTGGCCTTTTTGTATGGTCGCGGTCTTCTTCCGATGTATAAAAGTTGTTTGACCTTGTTATCGCAACTTGGTCACATTGACAGGAAGGCCTAGTGGAATGCATGATAATTTCCAGTCGTACCATGGACTTGGTACATTCCAAAAACGTTTCGCCGGCATTGCCAGTAAGCCTTACCATTCTTACCATCAAACTAAAATTCGTCAGAGACAAGTGAAGTCGATCCTGTGACCAATTGTGCGCTAAACAGTTGTAGTATCTCTCCTTCTGACCTGGGATATTCACCTGTTCTATATCCTCGTTAAGAAAAGTAATGGGCAGGAGACTTAAGGAAGACAGAATTAGCGAAAACTTTGCATACTGCCTAAGCAAAGTCGGAGAAGATCAGGGAACAGCAATATCAGCAGAAAGAAGACCACTAGACAAAGGCAAGGAAAAGAAATTGCAATGAGGTCAGAGAGACAGTCGTAAACCAGGAGAATATGTCTACAGTGAGCCTATTCAGATCAAGTAGAACTATCACATTTTAGGGTCGGCACGCAAGAGAAAGTCATGGACTTGGCATTAGGGATATAACGAGAGAAACGATGGCGGTCATTTATAGTTAGCTATTAGTAGATAAGTTTGCTCATATACGTGGTCCATGAAGTAAAGGCTTGACCACGAGATTTACTCAGTGCGCATGCAGCACATTGATGAGGGAATCTGCAGCCAGTTGATAATCCCGACTTAAGGGGATTACTCAACGAAGCTATCAAAGGCTTGAGGCAGAAAGTAGAACAACGCCTTGAGTAGCACGGGTGAGGTGGCAGCGATGGAGTGAAATCATTGAAACAGGCAGATAAGGGAAGGATCCTACTGAGGAAGAAGGGGACTCTGATAAGACCAGATGGGAAAAGATTGCGGATTAAATCGCAGCCTTGGATCAAAGCTCCCGACACAGTGGGAGGGATGTGGAAACCAGCGGGGAGTGTGAATATATTTCAAATAGGTTTAGATAAATAAGTAAGAAAATGTGATATTTAAGTGGTGATACAAGAATATAGGATAGATGAATAGCCCAGGAGAGATACCACAACTGTTTCGCAACATCGTAAAAAAGCCAAACGGCTGCAGTACAACGGGATTCATCCATCCTCTTCTGGTGAGATCGACCAACGAAGCTCTTCTTCATGCACTTATATACGAAATGAAAGTCCCCCCTAATAAATACGTTCAACAAGATGTGTCAGATGCTCTAAGCACATTTCGAAAAAATGTCAAACCAAGACTATAAGACTAAAGGAGACTCCAACCAAATAGAAGGCCACACCATCTTGGTATTCATATCTACTATATATGATATTTATAGTTTGATTGTCAGTGAGAAAAAATGTGTATTTATCACTAAAAT